ATAAAGAAACTAACGCAGCTAAGGCAGCGGAGCAGCAGCAAAAGGAGCAGCAGCAGCAGCAGCAGCAAGAGCAGCAGCAAAAGTATGATGAACTCCATGTAAGCAACATTCTATAGCTGCTGCACCCAACGTACCTGCTGCTGCTGCTGCTGCTGCAGCAGCAGCAGCAGGAACAACAGTAGCAGCAACAACAACAGCAACAGCAGCAGAAACAACGGCAGCAGCTACTGTTGACATTTGCTGCTGCTATGTTGTGTGTGTGTGTGTGTCTGCTGCTGCTGCTGCTGCTGCTGCTGCTGCTTTAGAATCTGCTGCAGCAGCTGCAGCGGAAGTATGCATGCCTGCAGCAGCAGCAGCAACTGGATGCTACTGCTGCTGATGAGAAGCAACGACTGCAGCAGGAGCTGCTCGACATGAGAGAGAATCTGCTGCAGCAGAAGGATGCTGTTGCTGCTGCGCAGCAGCAAGTCATCGAAGAGCTGCAGCAGGAGAAGCAGCAGCTGCTGCAGGAGGTAGCCTGCTGCTGCTGCTGCTGCTGCTACTGCTGCTGCTGCTGCTACTGCTGCTGCTGCTGCTGCTGCTGCTGCTGCTACTGCTGCTGCTGTTGGGGGACATGCATAACCCAAGAGGATATCTTAAACATATCTGCTGCTGTTGCTGCTGCTGCTGCTGTTTCTGCTGCTGCTGCTGCTGCTGCTGCAGGCAGAAGCAAGAGAGGCGGAGCTGAAGCAAGCCCGCGAGGACGCCGCAGCAGCACAAGCAGCAGCAGCAGCAAACACAAGCAACGAACAGCAGCAGCAACAGCAGCAGGAGCAGCAGCAGCAGCAGCAGCAGCAGCAGCAGCAGCCTGGTATGACTGAAGAGGAGGCGAAGCTGCAGCTGCAGAAGATATGTGACCAGCAGCAGCAGCAGCAGCAGCAGCAGCAGCAGCAGCAACCGACGGACCTCGCAATTAAACTTTTGATGGAGCTCGATGCAAAGTCTCACCAAGTCAGTCTTGCTGCTGCTGCTGTTGTTGCTGCTGCTGTTCCTGCTGCTGCTGCTGTTGCTGCTGCTGCTGCCGTTGGTGGTGCTGCTGCTGCTGCTGTTACTGCTGCTGCTGCTGCTGCTGCTGTTTACTTGGAGTTTCCTGGGTAATAGGGGCTCCCCGTCTTCAGCAGTTTGTGTATATACTTGCTGTTGCTGCTGCTGCTGCTGTTGCTGCTGCTGCTGCTGCTGTTGCTGCTGCTGCTGCTGCTGCTGCAGTGCAATGTGCTTAGGGGTCAGATGCAGCAGCAACAGCAGGAGGCCGAGGCTTGGAAGGCGGCGGCGCAGCAGCTGCAACAGCAGCAACAGCTGCTGCAGCAGCAACTGCAGCAGCAGCAGACAGAGCTGCAGCAGCAGCTGCAGCAGCAAGCAGAGCAGGAGGGGCGCATGCAGCAGCTGCTGCAGCAGAACAAGAAAAAGAATCAGCAGATTCAACTACTAGAGAATGAGGTAAGACAGCGGGGTGTACCTGCAGCAGCTGTTGCTGCTGCTGCTGCTGCTGCTGTTGCTGCTGCTGCTGCTGCCGGTGTTGCTGCTGCTGTTGCTGCTGCTGCTGTTGGCGCTGCAGCAGCAACAGCAGCGCCTGCAGCTCCTCTGGTTTGTAGCAGACGAAAGCAAAGACAATTGATGCTGGGTTTGCTGCTGCAACACTCTTAGACTATCAGAAGCTCTTGGGGCATTCTAAGTGAGTCTGACGCCGTTGCTGCTGCGGCTGCTGCTGTTGCTGCTGCTGCTGCTGCTGTTGCTGC